TAATCAGGCACTCCCTGGACGCCGAGGGGAGATTAATATTCATGGAAAATTCAATAATATCCCAGTTTGATTACTAAATCTCTGATAGCCTCCCATTGCAAGTTAACTGGAAACAGATTGCGTATGGATTTTTACCACAGTGGTGTTGCAATATCTCTTTGGTACCCAAACGCCCTGAATACGGATCCCGAAATGATTATTTCAGACATGGATTCAATGTGGAAGAATTTTTAAGAGATTCGTTTCCCTAAAAGAATTGAGACAAGACGTGACATGTGATATGATGAGGGAAACCTATTATAATGATTATAAGGAGAGCAAGTGAGCAAGAACATCAGGACTCGGCCATATTATTATGTAGACGGGAGCGACGTAATATACACAAACAAAAAGACACACAGCATGAAACTTACAAAATCAACAGTACAATGTCATACAGTGCAACACAGCGCAATACAACACAACGCAACACTGCACTACACAACACAACACAACGCAACGCAACATATTATAACATTACACAGCAGCACAGCATAACACTACACTATGAAGCGCAGCGCAACACCAAACAACATGATACAAGACAGCACAATTCAAAACAAAGGAATAACTACAAGTTTTTGTAAACATACAATAACAATGAAATAAAATGTGGAATCGCCACAGGCTCACAACATGTATGCAATGTTGCTATTTTATATGATAAATAAACAGTGACTTGAGGCCAAAGAATATAGCTTAAGCTTTGTCCAAGAGTTGGGTTGAAACATTATCGGACAAGACTCAAAGGACCATCTGGTCTTCATCGTTAATGATCCAGAAATATATTTTGTCACGTCAACTGTACTATTGATGATACATTTATTAATTAACTTAGTTATCGATCGCCACAGTTATCGATTGTCAATCGAAGCAGAGTAGAGAAAGATTGACTTATTTTGACAGGGCTGAAGGACTATAAATCGGTTATTTTCTGTGTTTATTTTACGACCACGTGAATTAAGAATTATTAACTTAAGAGAGGGAACACGTCACGTAAAGTGTGGAGGAAATCTCCCCTGCCATCGCTCTCATACATTCAGAATATGACCCCAAACCACAAAATTGCATTATTGATAATTCGTCCTCTGGGGCAGTTTCATATAATGCATGAAGATAATGTAGGGTGACATTTAGTGCTAGCCTCCTGGCGAGGTGCCACTGACACAGCGGTGCAGCGCTGAAAAAGCACATACCACTAAACAATGTCTAGAGCTAGAAGTTCAAGGGTTAGGTGTAACAAGTCGATCGGTGTAATATAGCCAGCTGTCGCCGCGCCGCGTGCCTGCGAAGGTGGTGTGTTACGCCGAAGGGCGGTTATACCGGCTATACAGATACAGATACCGATAACGCGTTAGCGATTTTTAATATTCCTTCTGTTTATTACTAAAGTACCTTCCAAAAGAAGTCTTTCGTGGTTCAGTTGGTGGGTTTGTAGATATCATAACTCAAGAAGCTGTGAATAGGTTGATATGATATTTAGTATGTACGATGATGTAGGTGTCAGAAAAATGAAGGGTTTGAGTATGGACCCCTGGCAGTTTTCTACGGTACTGCAGTAGAAATTCCGGATGTTTTCATGATTTTTCAAAGCTCTTGTTAGCATTTTTTTATTTTTTATTTTTTGTCCTGTGGAAAAAAAAACAACTGTTTGATTGACTAAAAGTACTTCATTCCAACAGAGCTACTGGAATGTGGTTGTACCGTACACAGAAGATGGTCTGTGGTGCTATTTTCGGTACCACGTTCGATCTGGTGGTATCGATTGAGGTATCGATGGTGAAAAGTTCTACCTTCGAGGTGATACAAAAATAGACGTCGCAACCAGGCAAACGCCCCGCGACAATACAACGCAATCGTGTAGTTTTATATCAAAAGTTGTAATGGCAATACATCAAAAGTTCTTCATGTAAGTTCATCTGTAAGGGAACAGAATCCGATCTGGTAGAACTACTAAATCGGAGTCTCTACCAATTTGTACAGCTCAAAGGAGAGAAGACTAGAAGAATAATTAGAAACTTGTCTATAAAACACAAACTTGCTGTGTGCGTTTGACTTGCGATCTGTTGAAATGTAAATCAAGGACACCAACATGGCGGCCATACCTGCCTGTCTCATTGACACGGAAAGCACGTGAAAACGCTACACACAAAGAACATCAAAGGATAATGTACACTAAACGAGCAGCAATGAAAGAAAAAAAGCGAACTTTTTTGCCCATGCAACTGGAAAATGAACAAACGAGTGGAAACAAAGTGGCAAGCCTTGAGATTGGACAACGTCGAATAACTAGCTTCACACGGTTCACTGCTTAAACAACCTTGGATGAGCAGTAGACGCAACAAGAGCCCTACATCTGATGAAATCGTCCCTTCCTACAACCCTCCGTATCTCCTGTGTGTACAAACTGCCAATACCGTCGCCACACCAGCATTCATCAGCCAAGTGTTGATGATATTACCCCAATATCGGGAGGGGCGCGCAGTCCCGTCGGGCTGACTTCCCTGCCCTCATTACTCCGGATCGATGATGCTTGTTAAGGTGCTTTGTGATGAGTTCCAAGGTCCCGGCTCAAGAGGCCTTTCCGACACGCGAACACGGGAGAACCCTCACCGCTGAGCCAATTATACACTCCTCCGGTCCACTCTTGACTTTATCTGGAATCAATGTCGTGTGCGCTGACTCTAAAGGACACGCGGACATGTCTCTGATGAGTTTCTCCAATTTTGAATTCATGGTAACAAAAATACGTACTAGTAACACTTCTGTACCTGTTTTTCCTTCATTACTTTCTCTTCCTTCTTGCCTCTCTTTCCCTTTCCCTGTCTAAAACGTATAGGTTTAGAATATCAGCTGTCTAAAACGTAACGTTTTATATGCTTTTAAAATATTAGCTACTGAACTATGATGAAAGTAACGTTAGCCTTGAATGCGCCGTATTGTCATCGTTTTTTTATCTGACTCTTAGAATTTGTATGTACCTTTTTATTTGCGATAACCGTACCGTCAAAAATCATTTTGTATTTTTGTGACATAACTTTGTTGCCCATCTTTTTTTGATTATTTTCTTTCCTGCTCCCAGATACGCTGTCTTTATAATAATGCACACCAGACTAACAATGTAAACTATCTATGGGACACTATATGGTAAACGTTGCTGACTTATCAATGCATTAAAGCATCAACGCAAAGCCTCGGCTTTAGGTACGTTCCAGCGGTTAATGAAGTTGAAGTTGTTTATTGCAAATTCCTGCCCGAGGGCTAATTGCATACATTGACAAGAAAATGTGGTGATACATGTATAAGACTATTTGCTGACAGGAACTTCTACGTGTACGATATACTTATCGAACCTACTATATCTACTTAAATCTAATAACGTTGGTATACATACAGGATAAAAAAGTAAATATGCAATATGTGAACAGGTAATAGGAACAATGTAACTGCTATTCTAATCTATTCTATCTTATTCAACTATTCTTGTCATGCTATTAGGGGGTTTGACTTCTTCTCAGGAGGCAGTGGGAGATGAATTGTCCGACTCTTTGAAAAATAAATGGGTTGGTGGACTTTAGCAATAATATAGTCTTTTGTTGTTGGTTGAGATATGAAAAACTTGGGGAAATATTGGCGACATCTTTGAATAACTTTTTGCATTGCATTGTAATTTCATTAATTGCATTTAGTTAATTGCATTGTAATCTGGTACACTGCCAGGTTTACAGCCGCCCATTGTCATGTCGTGGCGAATTTGAAGTTTCATTCTAACGATTTTACAGAGAAGAAGAACGGGATATAAAGTTGCTGACACAAAAAGAATGTTGGAGAAAAAGAGTCCAGATGACAACACACTATACATCTATTAGATATAGTAATGGAATAGAAGTCTCCGAGGTAGACGCTGTCATTAGCCTGAAATCTAGCCCTGTTATCTATATAGTTCCGCAGAAAATTGTCTCTCTCAATTTCCTGTGTCCGACCTCCGGCCATTCTGCCTGTCAATCTTCACCCACCCACTTGCCACTTGAAGAAGAAGAGGAAACGTAGCAAAAACAATATGTTTTCCTTCGGTAAACATAATAACCCAAAACCCAAACCTCTGCTTGGATAGTAAGAAAGACGGGCAAATCGACCACGTGCGTCATAGTCACAGAATCCCGTCCTCCTCTGCTCGCCCCTGGTGGATACACACTTGCTGATGCGGCTGTTTCCACAAGATTAAACTAAGCCGGCTCCCCGTTTTCTAACAAATCTACTCTGCGACTTCAAGTCTAACCCGCGTCACACACGCCACCGCGCAAATTGCTTAATCTGCACATTCCTCGTAAGTGGATAGAACCTTTGTAAATATTGATAAAGGCCTTCAAAGGAAGGTCCTAATCGTATTTGGGTATAAAATTAACAGCGGGGCATTAGCTTTCAACCACAGGACGTCTTACAGAGAACAGTGTTACGTATGACGTTTTCATCCTCGCCTACACACCGAGGATTTGTTGATTCGATCATTGACAAGAAACGTTAGAGTCTAAAGTCGTTACATGTGACGAAGTGAGGTGGGGACATGTGATTGTAGACCCAGTGTGATCGGGCTTAGTACGTATCGAAAATTGTTTGGAAATATATCTACTGCGTTTACTAAGTAAGGTACCGCGTTAACACACCTTATAACCTAGTTTAGAGGATTCGATGTTCCGTGTGCAAGGATCAAGTTGTTGGCAACTAGTCCAATAGATGTTGTGTCGCAGTTGCAAAACAAACTACGGAAAAATAACTGGGATGCCCGAACCTGCATCAAAGGACGAAACAGGCACTCCTGGTTCTGTTTTATAAAGCCTTATAGCACGCCCTTATAGCCATACCTACACAAGATCACATCGCCGTTACACTACAATCAGATGTAAAACAAATATATTCAGTTCCAGCTTCTTCCCCAGAACTATTTATACAATGTATACAGAATGGTATGTACTACCTGCACACCTTGCAGCACACCCACCTGCAACACATTCAAGTTATCAGGGAGGGAAGAGAGGCAAGCAAACAGACAGACTGACCGACAGACTGACAGATTGACTACAGACAGACAGACAGACAGACAGACAGACAGACAGACAGACAGATTGACAGACAGATAGACAGACAGACAGGCAGACAGACAGACAGACAGACAGCAGGTAGACTGAGACCTAGAGAAACAA